TATTCAAGGGTAGTACAATATGTACAAAGATTAATCATTAGTCTTTGAAGTGAAGCCCAGCAATGTGAGGGTATAGTAGGAGTCAGATGACTCTTTATTTTAATTTCTATGTTGTTTTATTCCTTTTTTTTTTTTTTTTTTTTTTTTTTATCTCCCGCTTTTTCTTTTTTTTAAAAAAAAAAAAAAAAAAAAAAAAAAAAAAAAAAGGCCTGTCCTCGGGCCTAAATAATCGAATATTCATCTTATCAGGCTAGAGGACTATATTAATAATTTCTAATTTCTTTTTATTCTCTCATATATTCTTCGTTACTATAGTTTCCCTTGTTTATTATATTTTTATTAGTATAGAGTTCCTTTTTAATTTTTATTTTATTAGAACTTAATAGATTAAGGGAATTAAAGACAGGACCTAATAAATCATTTATATAAAAACTAGAGCTTACTGATAGAAAATCAGCATTTAAAAAGCTTTAAAAGAAGAACTGAATAGAATAGAAGAGCTTATAAGTTTTCTAGAAGAACTTATAGCATTAGGCCTAGAAACCTCTAAAGGAAAGGAAATAAGTTAACAGCCATTAATTAAGAGCCCCAGCAGGCAAAGGATGGAAGAATATAATAAAAGTGATGAAAATCAAGTATGTAGTAAGAAATTATAAGATCAGAATATTTTAATGATTAGATGAGAAGAAAAGGTGTGTGAATTTACTAAGAGACCAATTGAAAAAGAATGTTAAGAGAATATTAAAGTAGAGAGAATAAAAAGCTATAATAAAAAGTATCTATATATCTATAATTAAACACTTGCTCTTTAATAACCTGTTTATAATATTTATAGTATGTATAAGTTTAAAATATTTTTACTAGATAGGTAACTTTATTTAATAAGGTAATAAGTATTCTGTTTAATATTTTTTTAAAATAAGAACTTGCTCTATTTCTCATTTATCTTTATTATTAATAATAATATATTTTCCATGTGACCTGTGACAGCAAATCCCATGTATATAAACCCCATCAGACACAAATCCCACCCCCTTGGGGGTGGGTAGAGCATGCATAGTCTTAGACTGGAAAATGCTCTATAAAATGGAAGACATCATCATCAATAATAATATATTTTATTTGGCTGCTTCTTTACTGAGATAAGGCTTTATAGGGTTTAAATAGATATATAGAAAATAGAGTGGACAATTGAATGCTCAAAGATATACCTGATTAAATCCATTACTTATGCTTGATTGAATGTAAACATAAACCGAGAAGAACTATAATGTGCATATTAAAAGAACTTATGATAATTATAACTTAAATACTGACATCAGTGCTTAGAGACAATGATGGTGTTTTAAGCCATATCAACTTAAATTGATGGCGTTTGGCCTTACTGTAAGATACCAATATTGGTATCAAATTTACCGTTGCTCTAATAGTTTGCCCTATAGCTAATCCTATCTAGGGTAGCTCCCAGCAGCTTAATTAATATCGGGGGTTTTTCGACAGTAATCTAGAGAGCTATATTAGACTAAGTGCCTTGAATTTCATCTAACTGCCAGGAATATGGGCATTTTTAATTTAAAACTTCTATTTACTAACGTAATCTATCACCGAATTGCGCGGTCGGCGGCGGCGGCGGCATCCATATTGTAATAATCTATCTATCAATTCCTTTTAAAGCAAGTCAAATTCATTAAATATATTACTATCTAGTAGGGCATTTTTATCTATTATGACCTTCTTTATTGCAATTGCTGCACCGTGCTGGCCGCTGTGATTTTGATGATGCTGGCTCTTCTTGCCTCTCCCATTCTCTCAATCTTTGCAACCCTTCATCACCAGTCAAACTCCCTCCATCTTGGATAAAGGCTCGTGTCATCTTCTCTTTCTGATGCCTATTTGATGTGCGAAGCTGATGGATTTCTTGTTGTAAAAGGATAGAATTCTGCATTGCCATCTCTGCACCCTTAATGACTTTTTCAAGCATCTGCTCTGCAGCCACTGAGGATACAGACTGTGAAGCTCTTGCATCTGCCTTTTCTGGTGTCTTCATTTTGATATGGGGTTTTGCAAGCACTCTCTCTGGTTTAAAAGGAATAAGACCAGCAGCTGCAAATCCACTTTGTATGTTGGTCTTTGAGAATGCATGAGCATGGATGATGGATTTTGGTGTAGTTAGATAGGAAATCCATTTTATCAATGACATGGATGCCATTTTGTGCCATCTCCCTGATTTTCTGGCCATTGTAGTGCTTGAGTGGTGTAAAACAGCTTATATCCAGTGGCTGAAGTAGATGAGATGAATGAGGAGGCATATATAATGGGATTATCCTCCTTTCCATGCAGAAATGATCAAAATTAGCAGTGGCATGGCTGCTATGACCATCAAGAATCAAAAGGCGATATCTGCCAGTAGTCTGAGATGTAGTAATTAGTATGCTTCTCAAACATCCCTTGAAGCCATTCAAATCCTAAATTATCATTTGTCTTGGCATGGCTATCTCTAGTCTCCAAGCCACAGATAACCTTTGCAGTTGATGCCACTCCCATTTGAAAACCAGATTCATCCATATTGTATATATCCTGCTCCAGAATGCCATATCTTTGGATGGTCTCTTGAACGCGATTAAACCAGCCTTTTATCAACTCAGGATCCTCACATTTGGCACACTGATAATCATATTTGCGGGTATATTTGGATTTGAGCTCAGGACGGCGTTGGATAAAGCGGTTAACCCATAGCTCACCAATGCTGGCTTTCTCGGGGGGATTTCAGCCATGCAGATAGCAGACATTTGATATTTGAAGAGGTAGGCCACGCTGATACATATCTAGAATCCATCTAGATAGAGTCTCTTCTTCAAGTTCTGATAATTGGCAGTCATTTCATGCCGAGAGGCCATTCCGTTCAGGCGATACATTAGAGTCCTTGGAATGACATCAAATGCCTTTGCACATGCAGTTTTGGATTGAAATTGGCCTTTATTAAACGCCTCAATAGCTAACTAATTACTTCCCTTTAATGTAATCTATCACTGAGTTGTGCATATCACTGAATTGCATGGTCAGCGGCGGCTTCCCCTGAACACACCACATACTACTCTTTAATCCTCCTTTTTATCATCATATTTATCATGGACAAGGAAGAGCGAATAAAACTAGCTAGTTTTAGCTGTTTTGATTTCCTGGAAATATGTATTCCTTTGGGTAAGAAAACTCTGATAGTCTTGAGAATCTTGAGACTGTTTCCATCTTCTTTTTGCATTTCCCAGGCTCTTTCTCAGAGAGGTAAGCTCTTCACTCCACCAAGCTTTGGATCTAGAGCAGGGTCTCTTTCTTGGGATACTTTTTTCTGCTGCTTCCTGGATGTTCATCTTCAATTGACTGGCTTCATTCTCTAAATTCTCTAACTGGGGTTCAGGATTGGGGTTGCCCCTAAGACTTGTCTAGGTCTAACAGGACCCTACTGAATTGCTCCCAATCAGCCTTCTCTAGATTGTAGGGTGAATAGGCAAGTGGGTTCTCTATCAACCCCCCTAGGGGGATAGAATAGAGCAGGATTTCATGATCAAACCCAGAGATAATCATAGGATCTATCTCCCACTGCAGCTGCCTTTGATTCAATCCCTGAGAAATAAAGATCAAATCAATGATTGATTGGTTCACCATCTAACTATCAAGTTTCTTATTAGAACAAGTCCATCTTGATAGTGTTGCAGGGTGTCACACTTAATCTCTTATTTTGAAGTCTATAGAGCAACATTAATAATCTGCTGATCTTGAGCTTGTTTAATTTAATTGTTTAAAACATTCTATATCTGCTCCATCCTCCTTGCTGTATCTTGGGCCTGTTGCTAATTGATTTATTCATCTTGGAGAGGAGATCCCTCCATAGACATCTAGTCAAATCACTCAAATGAAGTTTGAGGCTTATATTCACAGTTAAAGAGTGAGATATTAGTTGTCTTAGAAGGCAGAGCAGCAGCAGCAAAATTAGAGTGTCATTCCCAACCCGCAATTCCCGTTCCCGAACCCTTCCCATCCCGCATAGGGTCGGGAATTGGGACCAATGCCCAATTCCCGCAGTTCCCGTTTACTCCCATAGGGATGGGTCGGGTTGGGAAATGTGGGAAATGGAAGTGGTTCATATTCCCGAATTTCCCATTACATACTATTACAATACTTAATCCAACCATGGTTAGAATATAGTACGCAGTTCAACTTTCGGATTAGGAGGCTACCACCAGCTCAGTATTTGTTAATGTTGCCAATGATTCTTATTTGGGATTATCAGTTATTTAAAAGTGTTGAGCTCAAAATTCAACGATTATCCTTAATCTAATCATGGTCATATTATGCCCTTTGATGGATGATGGATCTTTTCGGTCATGTCTATAGATTGCGCAGTAATGCGGTCCAAATATATATATATATTATTGCAGCGGAGTTGTAATTTCTTGTACCAACTAATATTGATTTTTCTGTACAGAATCTGCCATTGGAAAAAAATATTAAAAATACTAAAAAACAGAGAGGAATCCACTTTATTATATATATATATTTTCAGAATAAAAAAAGTCGCTAATTATAGATATAATGTGTGGTAAATTTGCATCGAAAATACAAGGCTACAATAAGGCAGTCGGGTTGGGAATAATGGGAACGGGAATTCCCATTCCCATCCCGATTCTAACTGTAGTTAGTTTAGTGCATCCATAAATGGTTAGCGCTGTCAATCTTTGGGAAATGTGGGAAATTCCCGACCCTTCCCGGCGGGAAATGGGAATGGGAATGGGAGAAATATTTTTTTCCCAACCCGCATGCGGGTTGGGACTAAGGTGCCCATTTCCCTACCCTACCCGACCCGAATGCAACTCTAAGCAAAATCAATTAATGATAGTCTAATCAATTGTCCTGATGGTGATTAATGAAAGATCTCAGTTAACTAACAATGTGCTAAATTATAATCTCAGTCTGGCCATCTATCTATGCATGATATGCAGTGGAAAGTTTCAGCCAGACTGTTACAGACATAGGGTGGAATAAACTGGGGTCTGCAATCTAATATAATGATCTAGAGGTTCTCTGTAATGATAAATATGCTCAATGAATATATATATATATATAATATCCTCAGAGATGACAAGTCTTCCTACAGGGAGTACTAATAGATCTATTACTAAATTAATCTACTACTACTACTACTACTAACTAATGTAGCATTGTATTTCTTATTAGAAGAAAAGAATTAAAGAAGTGAAAATCCATAGGGATGTGCTGCTAAGGCTTTTCTATAATGAGTAAGAGTTAGAGCAGCATAGAGGCATAATTTCAAGGATTCCCAGCTTTTCAGTACTTTAAACAGTTTTGCATATATCTCTCAACATCTTATTCTCTAGATTAGCTAGTGCCCTAGCTAGGGCCTCATAGGCACTACCCCATCATGTCCCCCATTCTTGACCATCTCAAAGTGAGAGCTTCCCATGTGACCTGTGACAGAGCAAATACCATGTATATAAACCCCATCAGACACAAATCCCACCCC